AGTCTTGTAGCCACGTTACACATGGAGAAAATCATGAAAACGCCCATTTAGCTAACTCGTTAACCGAGACTCGAACCCCGGACCGATGTACTATTGTCCAGCGGTTTGAATCGTTCAGCTGCTAGTGGGCTTATGGAAGGCTTTTTGCCAAAATTTGACTTGTCTTCATGTTCAGCGAGATTTTATGTTAAGTTTCTTTGGATGGATGAATTCTTCTGAAGCAAGGATTTTTAAGCTATTTTTCTTCTAAACTATTCATCTAGTAAAAAAAGATATATATACACTGCTGGCCATTAAGACTGCAACACCAGGAAGGAATGATCTGACGAATGTCAAAATCACATGAAAGGAAGAAATTTGGATATGCAAATGATTAGTATTTTCAGCTCATTTAGACGATGCAGGTGGGAGAAACGACATCTGAAGCACTGCATAAAAGAAAATTTGTGTAATGGATTTCTCATTCGGAAAGTGCTTTGTAAGGTTGGGGTTTGCTCAGAATAACGTGTTATGCCCCGAAGAAGAAGAGGAAATGCTTACCAGCAAGTATCGAAATTTGATAGACGCAGGATCGTTGCCTATCGAAAGTGTAAATTATCGTTCCGTAATTTCGCCAGTCTCACTAGTCGACATCCAACAACTGTTATGCGAATATGGAATAAATGGATTGCTGAGGGTCATACTGAACGGCATGCAGGATATCAACGCCCTCCCATGACTAACGCCAGAGAGAACAGACATATTGTAGGTCAGTCCTGAAAAACCGTGCAACCCCATCACGGACCATTAGTCAGGAAATGGGCATATTTGCAGCGCGCCCAGTATCAGCTCGTAAGGTGCGTCGACGTTTGCAGCAGCGTGGACTATCAGCACGGTGACCACTACTTCGGCTTCCCTTGACAATGCAACATAGAGAAAGACGGCGACTCTGATGCGCCGAACGACAAAGCTAGTACAGGAGTGACACAATGTCGCTTTTTCAAACGAGTTCAGGATCTACGTGCAGGATTCTGATGGCCGTATACGTGTCTGGAGTGTCCGAGGAGATCACACGTCGCCTGCTTGCCTTCGGTATCGGCATAGGGGCCCTGCATCTGGTGTGATGGTTTGAGCAGCCATTGGGTACAGGACACACGCATCTCTAGTTCGGATCGACGGTAATTTGAACGCAGATGAGTACATTTCTGACATCTTACGTCCAGTGATTGCACCCTATCTTCGAGGCCCCCAACCTCCATGCTTCAACAAGATAATACAAGACATGTTGCAAGTCGTGTTCTGACCTTCCTCGATATACAGAGTATTCAGTTGCTGCCCTGGCCTGCGCGGTCTCCAGATCTGTCATCCATTGAAAATATCTCGTCATGGGTTGCTGAGAGAGTTGTCCGCCACCCCTCTCCAGCTAATACGATTGGAGCGTGGTACAGACTTGAAGCAGCATGAAATGAGTTGCTCGTTTCTGTCATCTAAACCTAGTTTGTTTCCATGCTTAATGGGGTAAGGGCCGTTTTAGCTGCCAGGGGTAGCAGCTGTTTCTACTAATTTCGCACCCCTGTAAACCTCCAAAATGCTTACAAATTTAATCATTTTGTCTTTCATGCCATACTGTTTACGTGCAATAAATATCTTTTTTTGTATTTGCTTTCCTTCATGGTGATGCAATTTTAATGGCCAGCAATGACTTATTTTAATGAATGACTAAATTGCGATATTTCAAAACTGTTACATTTTACTAATCGAACAGTTCCATTTTTTATCCTCTATACGTATTTAAATTACCATTCCAAAAATGTTCGTTTGCACAAATCCTGTTTTACGTTATAAACAGAGATGATGCGTAGGAAAAATAATGTCTCATTAAGATGAAAATAAGCAATTTTTTATGTATGTAATGTTTTTATGTAATTTTTTATGTTTGTAAAACTAATCATGTTATTATACTTAAGTAACTATTTTGACAGGGTGTTAATCAGCTTTTTATTTAGTGCTTATGATCTAAAACTGTGTGTACTGTGTAAATAAATAAATGTCTAAATTAAGATGAAAATTGTTATGCCCAAAGTATTAAAATATTTATCTAAAAAAGCATTTTTCAGCTATAATGCGTTCCACAAAATCAAGTAAGGTTTGAAAAATGCATGTGCGAAGCAATGATATGAAAAAAGAAAGAAAACGCTTTATTTAACACTTCAACACCTAGGTTTAAATGAACGTAGTAGCTCACAACATGGATATAAGGCTCTAATGAAATTTCTTCGCTTAATTATTTTTCTTTTAAAATGTTTAATTGTGCATTTAATACTCTATATTTCAACCGGGATTACCGTGGTTTATAGCCGCAACTTAGCATAAGCATGACTGGTTCCTTTTTTGCTTAGTTTTGCTTAAAAAATTAATCAGTGAAAATACGTTTAAATTGGGACCGGCAGCTTTTTTCTTGAAATACCTCCTTTCAATGTGATTATTAGTTCTGGCTCAATCATTTGGGAATTGATTCCAAATTTCCTTCAAAGGAAAATAGTTGAGAAACTTATAAATAAAATTATGCTTTATTTATGGTATTTTTTCATCTAGAATACTGGGGTCATTTTTTAGTTGAATAATCCTTTGTCCGGTGCATAACAAAAAAATATAATCGTATAGTCTGCCTGAAACCCATTGCAGAGGAAGGCAAAGGAATATTATATAAAGAGAGTTTTTTTTAATCCATTAAATTATTTTTGATGATAAAATGATAATTATGTGAGATACGTATTTTCCCCATCTGGCACGTGGGCGCTGAGATTAGGAGGACACTCTTTGAACCTGGGGAAAAGACCCTCATTCGCAGGTGATAAGGAGAAAGGAAAATTGAATGAAAAGGCATATAAACCGTATCAAACGCACAGCAAATCTTCGGAACCAAGGAGAAGCCAGCGCTATTGTAGGTATGACCCTGACCCCTGTGTTGGGGCTGGAGTTTGAAGTGATTTAGGGGAAATGTAGAGAGAATAGTCAAAGGAAGGTCAAATTGTTGCCCTCAGATTGGGGGAAGGAATTTTTGGACGAATCATCATTTTTTGAAAAAAAGTATACAAGGAGAAAAGCCCTCATTTTCCGCATTCCCGTATGGTACTAGGATCTGAGTTTAAGACAGTGTGTGGAGAAGTTGCTTCTCTAAATATGAATTACAAGTTCAGGTATGATCACCATACAGCAAAAATCGCAGTCTGGAAAACATTCATTATGCTTTTATAAGTCAAGAACATAATGTTTTTAGGGTTTTGTGTTTATTGACTTGTTATATTTTTATTTTTGTGTTTATTGTGTTTATTGACTTGTTATATTTTTATTTTTGTCTTTACTTTCACTTCTGTTTTCATCAGGTTCCATCAGAATGCAAATTAGTTAATGTAAGCGCAGAGTTCTTGAATTTCATAAAGATCCTTTGACAATATTTTCTGCCTGTGTCGATAGGATTTTTCTCCCATCTGCTGGTATTACTTGCATTCGGCTCTAACTCTGCTAGTCGTGTTTGCTTGCGTAACTTGGAAATCTGAGCAAAAATTGTGGGCGCGCTTTGTCTTGTAAATCATATGTTTTAAATATTTACATTTTACTTTAACTTCGTGTCTGTTAATCCCGGAAGTAGCGGATACTTTTCTGTTATTAAACAGGTTGTGTAAATAATTAGGATAAATAACTAATAAAAAATTTATTTTAAACCTTCTCCTGTGTTCGGTGTTACATTGCTGGATAACTAAGATGGGGCAATAAATCTCGTGAATAACATCACGGTGACAGAATGAACATTATGATAGTTAGGTTCCATATTTTTCTTACAAATCCCATTTCTTTACATATAAAATTCGCAGAGATACGGTTAACTAATAGTTTCGTGGGGAAAACAGCAAATTTAGCTTGCTCTGTTTTACGCAGAACCGAATCACTGTTTTATTGCCTAACTACGTTTTTAGTTGATCTGTAAGTTTGGATCTTTAAGTTAAGATCTATAAGTAAAAATCTCAAATTTCAATATCAATAAATGCATTTTACGTATCTTTGCCAATATTTAGAGAAATAATTTCCTTTTTCGAACACTCTTTTCATTGCATATCTGCTATATCATGGGTAACAGACTGCATGATGGGTATAGTCAATGAATTTTCTATCCTGATCGTTGCTTTTATACATGATTTCTTCTGCCATCATTTTAGTTAAACTGAATCTGCATCTTAACGCCTCATGACAGTCCAAACTATCAGCGTTAATATTTAAATCGTAATGTCACTTTCGTTATTCTTAAATGAAGCTGAATTCACAAAATATCATTTCAGGATTCTAATTTGGTTTCAGTGTGACAAGTTTCATGCATTCTACTGGGCCATATTAATAACGATAGGTGACCTACCCTGCATTTGCCTTTGGCAGGGAATATGAATCACATTATACACCCACCTGACGGTAAATAATCAGACGAATTCTGTTGGTACGAAATATGAGGGGGAACTACATCCGTAGTACTGCCCCATTATGGTGATCTGTCAACATTGGAGACAAATTTCTATCCATGTTGGGAGACACCAGAACAGTGTTTGTGTGAAAGAAAATAAAGGGATGGCTATCAGTGTTGTTCTATATGTGATTATAGTAGGAAAATTATGACTATTGACAAATGTGCTATTACACATAGCTGCTTCAATTGACAGGGCCAAACAGAATCTCCTGAACTACTTTATTAATGTGTTTAAAGTACAATGACGACCATCGAGGAATAAACTAGATTCTCTTTAAGGCCTGGTAATATTATATAATTTAATATAAAAATTTGGTAATATAATAAATCTTCAGGTAATATTATAAAAGTAAGTACGTATAATGTCTTTGTGCTTATTTATTTATGTAGTGCTGCTTTTCTTGTGGTTGGGTAAAGAGGGGTAGCTCACCTGTTACGAGACCACCACTTACCGGTAATTAATTACTGCTTCATTAATATTTCAATCTGTGTATCCCATAGGGTTGGAGAAACTGGTGAATGGGAAGAATCGAATGGCATCCTGACTTCGGACAACAGAACCAGCTGGCAAGTGATAGGTCTACAACCATACACTGTTTACTCATTTCGAGTAGTTGCTGTCAATACAATTGGAGCTTCTCGACCAAGCAAAGAATCTTACTACATGGTAACACTTCGTGAAGGTACAGTTTCTCTGATTTTTTTCCTCTGTTCGATTATCTCTAACTATGTGCATATTCCTGAAAAGCCAAAAATTAGATCTTTTCAGTCTAAAATATTCCCATTTTGTTTTTGTGTGGGAAGAAGACAAACTGAATCCTAACGAAATTCACACCTTTATTATATTTCTTCAAATTGAAGGCCGAAATGCAGCTGAATCCATTGAAGATTGTGTAATAAATATGAAAAAATGAAAAGACTGTTTAAGTCATATTGTTTTATACACTACCAGAAATTCAACAAGGACAAATGGGTTATCTGTGATGCTTTAGATCCGAAAAGTCTGAAGTGACTGGTCATTTTTCCCAAAGTAGTTGGCAGGTTGTCTCAGTGACCATGAGGGACTGCTGTGTAGCAGCTCTGGTTACCTTATAAAGCACAGTTATACATTTCTCAAGCAACTGAGCAAGAAAGATATACAAATGAGAAAAATGTGGAATCAAGACATTAGTTTAAAAAACAGCATATATATTTTAATTGTAGAATTTTAATGTTATTACTCTTTTACAGTGATTATGAGAGACTTCTGTATAGCGGTGCTCCGTCATAAGAGCACTGGCATGCTTATAAAATATGTCTTTCAAGGAGGCGAACAGAAAGGGCGTATAAATGAAAAACACGTGTAACTGAAATTTTAGTTTAACAGACATGTATATTTCAGTTTTATATAGTAGTTAGGATTCAAACTCCCAATCTCTTCATTTTTAGCCGGACAGGCTATCAATTACACCACGAAGACACTTTGTAAGAAAATAGAAATTTCTTAAATTCTTCACTACTTAAATGGAGACTAGGGAGGAAAAGACCCAGACGCCAAATCTAGGTGGTGAATCATTCTGTTTATTCGGGAAAAGGAAACATGAAAAAGCATGTATGCCCTCGCCGGGATTCGTAGCTCGTACTTTCCGATGCTAGCCCAGTATGCTTTCCAACCACTCTACGAAGGCAAGTGCTAAGGATGTAGAGTCATTAGGATTTTTTTAGAGGCAGAAAAGATGAAAAATATGCAACCGCCTTCCCCGGGAATCGAACCACGGACCTCTGGAATACCGGCCCAGTGTGTAGAACCACTGCACCACGAAGGCACTCTAGGGAAGTGGGAAAAATACCTTATTAGGAAAAAGAAAACTCCTTACAATTAGTTTACACTTTTTCAAACATTTTTCATTCATTTAACTAGTATTGAATGATGTTGGTGCTTATCTCACTTGTCTGACCTAATAAAGAATAAATATATTGATTTAGATCACTTTTCATTTCGCTTTTTCGATAGAAATTAAATATTTAGTAACAGCCCCCTAAACTTTCTCTAAAATTCAGGGAGCAACTGCGAATCAAAAAGCACTCGTTTTGGCTATTAGAAGGTTTTGCGTTTGATAAAAGAGCATTAGTTGTTAACTTTATAGCTGATCCCGAAAAATATTAATTTTGAATATATCTGCGGGTTTTGCTAGTGAAATTTTGTATTTAACTTATTAATGCATAAAAAATGCTTTACTGAATGTATTTTTCCTCTAGAGGGTTCGCATAAAAAGATAACTTTTGTATTTGGGAAAGCGGTCTGCTTCCACTGCTCAAGCTACTTTCATAAAATTCTGTATATCATTAAAAGAAATGTTATAACAGTCTTTTGGATTAATATTTTAAGTGAATAAAGCCCGTAGCCCCCTTTTCCGTATACCTGTAGCATCTGTGTTATAACGATATGTAACTAAGGGAAGATTTTCTGATGTAAAAATGGTAACGTTTGCAATCAGTACAAAATGGCTTAAATGTGGCGATTTTTGTGTTACATATGATTTCATTGCTTTGCAGTGCCTGATGGGAAGCCCAACATTACTTATGCGCATAACACCAGCAGTAGTTCTATACTTCTGCAGTGGGCCGCACCACCTCGACATACACTACATGGTGAGTTCCTCGGCTATCGTATCACCTACCGTCTGAGAGAAAGAGCTCGAGGAGAAAGAGAAGTAATATTAAGAGATCCCCAGGCTACGGTATGTAACATTTCGGACTTTTATTTCATTTTTACTTCATGTGCTTTCTGAAATTTGCAATCAAATTAACTGCAGCTCCGTGGTATTTCACAGAGATAGAGAGAGAAATCACGTGTCCGCATGGTTTATTTGAGGCTATTCATCCAAAATGAAATATCGATCTGCGGAGGAAAAAAACTGATAATATTCTATCTAGGGAAAGGAAAATATTTCTGTGACTCATGTACCGTTAACACCGACTAGTTGGACTACTAAGGACGACTAGTCGGAGGTGATATTTATTTACGAATAAATGATAGTTGACTAAAAGTTGTCAATTTTGGCTCTGTTCAAAAAATATATTATCATCTACAGGAAATGGCCAAATGGTTATAAACATTAAGCATTGATAATCTGCTGCGAGTTCCACATTACAACCGCCGGGAATAATTTTTACGTTTTTCCTTGTGTGTAACGGAAATATATGCCTGTGCCTCCACAGAAAGGTCTCCTCGAAAGTACTTTTCCTGTAGGCAGATAACTATACTGTATTTTGCCATAAAAAAGTCTATTTCTATTGTGAACATTAAAAAGTCAAAATATATGCATTTATATCTGTACCTTAAAGAATCCAAAATCCAGTTTGTAACTTCCGGGGGGGGGTAAGGGAACTATTTTAGTGTTAGAATGCAGAATTCAAAGAGAGAAAAGAATTCAATACATAAGTTTATCTTTAAAAAATATCTGTAGTCACTTTTATTTCAGTGAATATATTCTTTCTTATATTAAAACCCATATCACATTTGTCTCTTAAGAAATACTTATTGTGCAATAGGTGAAGAAGTTGATGATTTTTAAATCACAGACAAAAAGAAAATTCAAAACTGATCATACAGGACTTGAGATTTTTCAGAAAAATTAAACAACGAAAAGTTTCTTTTAAGCTATAAAAAAGAACATATACGTTTCTAAAGAGGACTTCAAATATATTCCAATTTCAAGAAGTATATGTATATATACATATTAAAAAAACAAATGGATAAAAAGAATGCTCTCACCATTTTTTAAATAAAAACAATATTTATTGCGATACATTGATTCTGGAAATTTCGTTGATGCTTTAAATTAAACAATGCTTAGATTTTGTGACTGAAGATGTTTAAATAATCTTATATCGTAAAGATACTTAAGGTGAATCTTTTGCTTTTCTAAGCTGGCTAAATGAAAAATGGACCTCGCAGAGAATGTAATGACAAAATGACTAAATATTAATCATAGCTCCATCTATGTCAGCGAATCAGTTGTTTTAAGAAAATAAATCTTGGGCCATCCACTGATTACGACCTCTTCTAAAGATTCTCGCTTTCCCTCTGTTTTTTTTTTTTTTTTTTTTTAAGTTTCCTTTTTAATCCTTTTCACCTGAAGAAGAACCCGTAACGTTTTTGATATTGCCGACAATTTTGTGAAAGCGAGAATAGATAAGAGTCTCACATGCAAGGGAGTTGGCATGTTGTTTGTTCGCCATTCTGTAGTTTGCAAAGAATAATAGAATATATCGTATAATGCAGAGAACAGTACAAGTCTATTCTGTTCAGTCCAAATACAATCCGCAGTCCGATTCATGATCTGTTGAAAAGAAAGAATATTACATAGCTATCCAGCATTCTCAAAAAGGGCACTTATAAAGGGTGCAGCATTACGATCATTTGGACGTAAAGAGAATTTGTTCCGCCTTTAGTTCTGTTTATTTCATTCAAAAATACGTATTAATTTATTCCTTTTATGCAGATCCTTCCTTTTACAAAGGATCGTGGCATATTTCATGCTTTCATTTGGAATTAAATGATTAAATCTTTCATTTGCTTAGGTGACGTTAAGTAATTAATCAGTTTAGAACAATTTTACATGATAGATCAGATATAGTTACATGATAGATCAGATATAGTTAGTCATGCGGAAAATGAACTGCATTTCATGAACGACAGTCATTACAAGTCATCTTGAAAAAGGAACCATTCTTCATGAATGAACGTTGTTACAACTCATCTCGACAAAATACCAGTCTTCATGAATGAATATTGTCACGTCTCCATTGTAATAACTTTATTCAGTTATGGAATTGCCCATTTCTGTTACACAGTGTTTGGATATTTCAAAGACATTTGGAATTGTTCATACGATTTTACTATTTTTTAACGAGTTCCAAATACGATTATCAAAATTTCTGAACTATTAAAAGTGTAGTAAAGTTTTATAAAATGAAAAGCAAAAGTTTTATTTATTTATTACAAGTAATTGCAGAGCCTCTGAAAATATTTTTTGAAATCCAGCTTGAGTTGTTCTACCTCAATAAAATTTTTTCGACCCAAGAAACAAAACCTTATATACCCTATTTGTTGTAAAAGGAGTGAAAACATGGTATTATAAAGTTCTAGTTAATTTACGTGTCCTTGGCAACTAGAACTTTGCGGAAGAGTCTAGCGACTATTCGCTGGTCTTCTTACAACTATCAAGACAGATTCCAAGGAAGGGTTAAAATACCCTTTTATTCACTCAAAGAATAATAATACAGATGGTTCCTCTCGGGCTTGGGTTTTAACTTAAGATAGAAAATAAAAAATTAATTCTAACTAACTAAAATTTAGCCGAAGCTGTACAGAAAGCTGTTGGCCCGTAATTAAACTCACCGGCAAGTACTAACAGGCACGGCCGCACGGACTACGGCCGAACGTAGTAAGATAGGCTTAAAGCAACGTCGTGGCCCAATGGTAGTACAACACGATCTACTGAGAACTTCTGAGCTCTTCTATGGAACTTCGATATACTGTATTGTACTGTGTTTCTATTGCCGGAGCAATACTTCTCAGTCATGCAAAGAGTTTCATGCGCAGTCTGGTATTAGGAAATTCCTTATTGAGTTTCCTTTGAGGAGAGGAATAAGAGGGAGAAAAAGCAATACGGCGCAATTTTTCGCCAGGGCTCAGGAGCTGACGCAACCTATTTGCAACACTGGTCCAAACAAGATCAATTCCAAAGTAGTTACACCTAAAAGTCTGTAAGATGCTCGTAGCCTGCTGGCTCTTCACTATGATTGGTCGAAATTTTGTTGGAATGTTTGTCACAAGAGATGATGTGGAAAGATGCACACGGAGCGTAAGCGCACAGTACTGACGAGTAAAATTAATTATTGGCTCGCCTAATTGTTGTGTTTCTACTTCCTCTTAGGGGGGAAACTAATGCAGAAACAGATAGGCGAAACCGTAACTAAATATTAACTGAGAACTAAACTCTTAAGAGTTAGCTAATTTCCACACTTTTAGTGATCGTATAAGTGAAATTTTGTGCATTGCGTTGTGTAAATGCATCCGGGACCGTGCCGTGAGAGAATCGGATACACAAGATGTAAAATCAATATACATATAAAGAAAACACATAAAAGATATAAAGAAAACATAAGAAATAGGTTTCCAGATTAAAATACAAGTTTATTCAAACTCCTCAACAATTAAAATTAAATTTCACATCCTAAGAGCTCGAGACTCAATTTTCTTATTTTAGTTACACAAGTGAATTCTTCAATTTATCATTAATTAAACATTTAAATCAAGGATTTTCAAATCTACTTTATGATTCATTTAATTTAACTTGAACTACTGCTGTAAATTCTAGGATGTCAAAAGAAACACATTATCTGAAATTCAACTTCTATTCTAAGGATGATTTCACAAAACATACTATAGTTTACAGCACCATTACTTATTACGACTTTCCTGTTTGTCTCGGTAAATTAAGAAGGGGGAAGAAGGGACGCAAATTTTAGTCATTTAGAATTAATTTAAAGATTCAATGTTGGGTTTAAAATTCCAAGGAAGTTTCTGGAACTTTACTTAAAGTTCATAGGAATACATCAAACACAGAAAAAGGACTTATCTTAGGTAGACATCTTGAAGTGGAGAACTCGTATCCTAATTCTAGGCTTTCGACGAACGGCACTGCCCCTCGGTTACAAGTCGAAGTTTCAGAGGATATCGTCCTGTCCTGGCACTTTTGGCGAAACACGCGGCCGGGTAACTGGTTTCCATAGACGAAAAAATTTTTACTCTGGAAGGCAAGAGAACCGCTGGCCCCCGCACGGCTGTCCGCATGGACTCACAGCTCCACCAGGAAAAATCATAGACTATGAGGCGAGGTATTTTTTTTTTAATACAAGACCGAAAGACATCGTCCTTGGTTTTTCCGATAAGGGCATAGAGCAAATCTGCGGCCGGATAGCATAACTGCCGTTCCCTGCCGTAGGCACAACTGGAGGACGAACTACTCTAATTTATTCATCACCAGAACTTCAATTACACTACCTCACCGTCGGAAAGTCGGTCCAAAAGTGATTCAAACTCGAATTTTCTTAATCTCCTTCACAAACCACGGGCTCCCACAATGGCTTCATTTATCGCCCCCTTAATCTGGACAAAATTTGCGTTTCTTTCTCCGAATGACCTAATTAGGGTGATCACACATGCGCGCCCCTCTTCACTTAGCCAACAACCGGACCCCCGATCGCCAAAACCAGAATGACTTACATCGAAAGTTAAGTGGCAACCTCTGACCCTTCTGTCACGTACTTCCTGTCCTAAAGGTCAATTGCACAAATTTCTTCTAAAACATTCTAAAGGACAAAACGCGCGAAATCATTACTTAGCAAAATCGCCTCCCTTCCCTGCTTCTTTTCACAATGAATCAAAGCTTGGACAAAAATTGCAAATAAAAGGAAAATAAATAATATTCTTTGAAACTAAATAATATTCTTAGAAGCATCTGTTTTTCACCAAAATTAAAGCATTAAAATAAATAATTCAGAATCAAATAAAATTAAGATTTTCTTAAATCAGAAAATCATTCACCTAGTTTTTTATAACGCGATCAGACAATTATCTACACAACATAATTAAGTGTGTAGCATAAGGACAGATCAGCAAATCGTCCGGGATGATTTCATAGCTCAGAATATACGCAAAGTTAGCTGT